AAAAAAAAAAAAAAAAAACCCCCGAAAAAAAAAAAAAAAAAAAAAATAGAAGGAAGTACAACGGTGAAGGTGATTACTTAACAAAAGACAAAAATGTAAAGGATATTAGGCCAAACAATTTTCCCCCTAAAAAGCCAAACCGAAAGGACTTAGCTCAAGAGTCAGATCTATAAGGATGTTAAAATTGATAATGTTGGAGTTTGCTTCTAAAATCTGTACTTTTCCAGCCTGGTGTGGTGGCACAGGCCTGCAATCCAAGCACTCGGGAGGCTGAGGCAGGAGGATCGCTGTGAGTTCGAGACCAGCCTGGGCTACATAGTGAGTTCCAGAGCAGTCTCAACTACATAGTGAGACCGTCTCAAAACAACAACAACATAATAATAATAATAAATAAATAGAATAAAATCTGTACTTTCTCCGATTGCAGTAAGAATGTGGAGTTTCTGAGAAAAATACTGACAGGAACAAATGAGGGACAAACCCAGTTACCCCAGAGTTAGTCTCTTTTTAATAGCAGGTTCTGATCCATGTTCTATAGGTCAAGAGCACCATTCAAATTTCTCTGTGCCCACTTTTGAACTGTGCTTCATCCCTGCCTCCGGCTCGTCGCAGCCCTCCGTGTTGCCCTGCCAAGGGCAGAGATTCCAGTCTCCACACAATGGCCCAGCATCCAACCCAATTCTGCTGTGTCCCTCAACATTCACTCCCCCAGCTCCTGCTGGGCCTGAACTTTCCGGGAACCTGATCATGTCACAGGCATTTTCCTGTATGACAAGTTCCGTCCTAATCATGAATAGCAGGCTTTACACGGAGAGTATTAGTCATGAAAAATCCATGATTCTACATTCAGAGAGAGGGGAAAATTTGCCTAAAATAGGCAAACTGTATCTCTATTACCAAGGTCTCTTGCTGCAAAGAGCACAAGGGTTTTTCCTCAACTATGTTAATCAGACACAGGAGAAGCAGAATATTCTGCCAGCTTCAAGGTCTAAGGTTTGGCTTGATGGGAAGCCCAGCGCCCACAGGGTGAATTGAAGGGTTTTCTAAAGAACCAGAGCTAGACATAGCTCATCCTCCATCCCACAGACCAAGTACGACTCATTCCCAGCTTCTGTAAGTCTCCCTGCTCACAGCAGCGGAGTAAGTATCAAAGAGCCAGAAAAAATGAAAATAATACTTAATTTCCTTTTCTGAGATAGTGAAGAGTATTTCAGAAAATATTACAAATTAGATATATTTGGTGGCTAGTATCATTTTGCTGTAACTCTCTTTTGGAACCTAGTTCCAATAACCATGTGAATCAGCTCCTACTGGTCCAAATTATATTTTATAAATGCAAGTTGAAGATTATCTTTCTGAATAAAAGTGCCCAGACTGAAATCCCCTCTTCACCATCCCCGAGAGAATGACACAGCCTGGTAGTGAAAGAACATCCTTGTGTAGAACAAATGGACCGAGGAAAATCTGCTTCCCTCTCCCCTGCCCCTTTCTTCTTTATACAAGTAGAGCCAAATGAGATGTTTTTTCATTTTAAAAATTTGATTAAGCAGACCGAGCAAAAGCCTATTACCCTGGTCTTTGCAGTTTTCTTAATTTGGGGGCTGAAGTAAGGCACACTCAGGCTGGAAGGGCAGTGGAGATGGTGGGGAGTCTGAGTTAGGGAGGCAAACACAGGCCTACAGCGCTGGTGCAGGTGCCCACTGCCCGCTGCCCACCCCCTTTTTTGTCAGTATTGGAGATCCAACCCAGGGCCTCCGCACTGAGCTACATCCCCAGCTATTTTAGTTTTTATGTTGTGATGGGGTCTTGCTAAGACCCTGAAATGTCCAGGCCTGGCTCAAACTCGAAATCCTCCTGCCTCAGCGGCCCTTCCTTTTCCCTTGAGGCATCAGATTTCAGAGTGCGCCTAGGCCAGAGCGAGAGGGTCCTAGGCCCCGTGTAAACCTCCAAGTCACCTATACACAAAGCCTCTTGATCTGAGGGTGAGGTAAGTGGAAGAGTGAAACGTAGGCTTAAGTAGTAAAGAAAAAATAAGCTAAAAAACGGGTTATGAATGAACTGGCAAGTCTGCTCTTTTGGCACATTTTAAAATACATTCTAGGCCCAGTGATGAATGTAACTGTACTGTATACTTACAAGTACCAACAAACTCAGTAAAAAATAAAATAAAATATATTCTAAGAGTGGGGTGTAGGTCGTGGTAAAGCACTTGCCTAGCATGCAAAGGGCCCTGGGTTCAATTGTCAGTACTGCAAAAATTTTTCCTTGAAGTAATCTTTCTTTTCTAGTTATAAAAATAACATCTTTTGTTGTTTTTGTTTTGTTTTTTTGAGACAGGATCTTGCTTTGTAGTCCAGACTGGCCTTGAACTCACGGCAATCCTTCTGCTTCATCCTCCCTAGTGTTAGGATTACAGGGATGTGCCCCCAAAATATACATTATGAAGTTCACATTAGCAGCTTTCTTATTCAGCCAGCCCTGTATATCCATGGGTTCCATATCCGTGGGTTCAACTAACCATAAATTTAAAATATTTGGGAGGAAAAATAAAAAAGCCTCACATTTATAGTGAACCTGTACAGACTAGTTTTCTTGTCCGTATTCCCTAAACAATACTTTATAATAACTATTTATATAGAATTTACATTGTATTTGGTATTACAAGTAATCAAGAAACAATTTAAAACATACAAGAGAATGTACAAAGGTTCTATGCAAATTCTATTTCATTTTGCACAAAAGACTGGAGCATCCTCAGCCTTTTTGCCAGCGGGGATCCTGGAACCGATCCCTCTCAGATACCAACAGACAGCTGTAGTATCAGATTTGGTTTTAGTTTCCATTCTTTAAAGTATTTCTAGAACCTCTCCACTTCATGAGGGCCAGGTGTCCTTTCGTCCTGGAACTTGCACATAATAAACACTGAATACGGTAGTGAACGAATTAGAAAACAGATCTCCTGGTCAAAAACTGAAGAAACTGGGTTGTCTGTTATCATTTAAATTACAGTTCTGGGCCGGGAATTTAGCTCAGTGGTTCCACCGCCTGTCTCACAAGTACAAGGTCCTGAGTGCGATCCTAGGTACCAAATAAATAAATAAATACATAAAATACTGTTCTTAGCTGGGCACGGTGGTGCGTCCCTGTAATCCCAGCACTCGGGAGGCTGAGGTGGGAGCATCACTGTTAGTTCAAGGCCTGCCTAAGCTACACAGTGAGCTCAAGGCCAGCCTGAACTTCATAGCAAGACCCTGCCTCAAAAAAAAAAAAAGTGGCTTTTATGTTAATGTGGGTAAAATAACTATTATGTGGGCTATATGGTACTTAACAAGTTAGTTACCTGGTATCATCTTTCATGGGACCTGTTCAAAGAAAAGACTAAGTAGTCTTAGTTTCACTGTGCTTAAAGAGGTTCATTTCAAAAAATTAACTGCCAAAGATTCATTTGAAAAAGTATAAAGCACCTTTATTGCCCCTCTAGCCTGCCTCTGAGCCATTGCCCACTCTAGCTATGAAAGAATTAGCATGAAGACATTAACTAAAAATAGGAATTTCACTTGTCTTACCCATCTGGAAAATACCCACGGAATGGGGTATAGAAGAAACGAGTACTGGTATTCTCGAAAAACCTCAACAAGGCTGAAAATCTCCTGCTTGCATGGCTTCTCGCACCTCCCCACAGATTCCTTGGCCTGAACTACCTGACCTCTGGTGGAGGCCTTCCACACTGCACTCCGAGCTCAGGCCCAGAAGTGAGGGTGACGGGGGAGCAGGGTCTTACTCTGACAGGCAGGAATCTCGCAGTACTTCCAGTACACGCCATCCTCATGCTCTGCCACGTAGCACCAGGGGCTCACATCCCCATCCGGGTTTCTGTTGGGGACAAGAACACAATCGATGACACTGCTGATGTTTAATGAGCTAGCTCGGTGCTTTCCAGTTTTACAGAACAGGAATGGCTTCGGGTTTGAAATTAGTCCCCGCGACTGGTATGCGTCTCAATGTGTTCTCTTATCAAGAAGGAAAACATTAGTAATAGTATGAGAACAAATCTTTCCACTCTGACATGTCCTTCGGAGGTTGGGGAGAGGTGAGCAAAGGTGGAAACAAATTCACTATTGTATGATGAAGATCACTAAACAATCGTGTCAGACATTTGGCCCGCAGAATGTGAACACAGAAATTCTGATAGCTGAATGAACACGGGTGCTTCCAACAGAGCTGATGAGACTATGAATCGGTGTACACATCCGGGATGCCAGTGGGTAACATGAGTCCAAGACTCCCCTAAAAGATATAAACTCTCTGGTTGATAATTTCTTTAGGAATTTAAGGAAATCTTTACTTATAAAGATGTTCAACAAAGTACTTTTGATATAAAAATGATATAAAAATGTTGGAAATAGCAAATATCTAATAAAAAGATTGATTAAATACGGAATATTCACACAAGGGAACACTGCACAGGTAGAGAAAATGTGCTGCAGAGGCCCTGTCTTATTAATATGAAAACATTCACAGTGCCTCATTGTTCTGCTTTTTCCTGGTTTATCTCTTAGATGCGTTTTTATTAGTACATGTTTGTAGTACATGATGATTACATTCACTGTGGGGAGGTGGTACATGATAGAACACAAAAAGTATGATTTTGGGGTCTTTTTTTGGTACCAGGGATCGAACTCGGGACCTTGTGCCTACAAGGCAGGCGGAAGAACCGCTGAGCTAAATCCCTGGCCCTTCTTTTGCTTTTTAAAAGCAGTTATTTAAAAAAAAAAGCAGTTAAAAAATGATGAAACAATCTCATGTTTTAAAATATATAATTAGGGAAAGACACTAAACTCTTTTTTTTTTTTTTTGGTACCCAGGATCAAACTCGGGTCCTTGCGCTTGCAAGGCAGGCAGCAGCACCACTGAGCTAAATCCCCAGCCTGACACTAAACTCTTAAAACTATTTATTTCTAGCTAATGAGATTATTGGTGACTTCAATTTTTTTTTTTCTGGTAGTACTCTCTTGATGGTGAATATTCCCAATTGTATGATTTTTAAAAATGATAAAGTAAAATTTATATAACGTATGCCACTGGGATCAGACTGGTCTACTCACATTTGACAGAAATGGGTCCTACCCTTTCCCCAAAACACTGAACCCTCGGAGAATTCTGAAGGGAGCTATGCCAGAGACTGGGTCAGAACCTGTGATCTATGTCATCCCGGCACAAATTTCAGAGACGGCAATGAGTTTTTAAAAGATCCACTTCCACATTCCTAAATGAGAAGGAGCTTGGAATAAACAGCCTGTAACTCAGAGATGTCACCACGGTGACAGTCGGCGCTGCTGAAGCAGACCAACACAAGGCGGGGGCGCTAGACACAGAAGGCCTGTCTCTCCCACCACCTTCCAAGCCACTTTTATGCAGAATACTGGAAACCTGACGCTTTGGGTAGGCCGGAAGTGGGCATAAAGACCCAGCGGTGGAGAGTCTGGAGCAACCCTATCAAGCGTGAGAAGGGTAAGCTTATTGTGTGGCCTAAAAGATAAGCTTCCCCAGGGCACAAAGGGTTGTTTTATTTCTTGTGCCCAAAGCCAGGTGGCAGCGCCAACTCCGCTCTTCCCCAGTCTTTGGCTTCTTCTCTAATCCAGATAGCTCGAGCACAGCCCAGAAGGGTGTTTCCATCACTCGCCAACTCTCAGACGGATCAGATGTGATGGCTCTGAAAGGTTGCACAAGACAAACACGGTGTCGGGTGTCGGCTGAGAAGTCGAAGTAGGAGAACTTGTACAAAGCCCTTCTTTAAATAGTATTTCATGATTTTCCTCTTCTATTCAGTGTTCAGCTTTGATGTAGTATTGGGTAAAGCCCTTAGAAAACTATTTATTATCAAAGCCATTCTGAAAAGCATCAGAATAGCTTAATAAAGAGCAAGCAAACTCATCCTTACTTCACTGTGGTGCTAAAACAAAAAGACTGGACTCTGATGTGATAATCATCAACAATCCCAGCCACCCTTTTTGAAGTATAAACTGGAAATTCAGGTCTGGTACATTCCATCAAATCAAAGGAGACTGTTGCAGCCAGGCAGGAAAAAGGTGCTCCTGGCTCTCGCTGCTCTCTTAATGAACATTTGCTGCCGTGTCTGTGGGAGCCTGTGAGCAGAAGTGGGTGATAATTCAGGGAAAAAATAAATTTCATATAAATTAACTCTCATTGGATGTTTAAATTGGTCCTCAAAATCAGACTTAAAAGCAGGAGCTCTTTTGAGAAGACTCAATAGTTAAAACCAACAGAGTAAGAATAAACCAACAGACCACCTCCAAGGGAAACTATGGGGGTGGGAGGAGAAGGAGCAGGGGGAGGGG